AAAAAAAAAAAAAAAAAAAAAAAAAAAAAAAAAAAAAAAAATTATTTTACAGAAGTAGTCCAAAATAAAATAAAAAGGAGTAAAATAGGGTGTTGAGATTACTTCTAAAAACTCAAACACAAGCAACTCAAAAGTAACACAGAAACCATGCAATACCACCTACCATTTCCAAACATTTTACTAAGACTCTTTTCCTGATATGGCCTTGGTTGAGCCTGTGGCTTCAGTTCCATATCCAAGTCTGGATTGATCTAAGAATCCAAGAATTAACATTGAAATAAGACACCCACTTCTTATACAGAAAATATGAACATAATTAAACGTTGACACAATTCTCCTTCCAACATCAGGATTTAATGGGAAAACAGCTCCGTAAAGACTCACAGTGTCATTTCTGAAGTCGTACTCTTCCAACATGGGATAATTTAAGGCATTGGGCAAGCAGCGTTGTTTAACATTTTCAACCTGTCATTTGATCAAGATAAAAAATACAATAAATAAGGAGAGGACGAACAATAAACATTGTCATTCAATCTTAAAACTTTGAAAACCATATTACTTGTGCTGGGTCAATTTCGAATGAATGAGTCTCTCTTTCCTCAGCTGCAGCTGCAGCTTCTGCCTCGTTGAGCAATCCTTCATGGCGATTGCCAAGTTCACCTGCTGTCTTGCTAATTGTAAACTCGCCATTTCCATGAGAATCCTGATAGTTTCCAGTATCAATAAAAACAAGGTGCAGGCACGTCTGAAAAATTAACACACCAGTTAGGACCATACCTCGTGAATGATTCTGGCTCTGCCTATAACCTCATCCCTGAGCAATTTCTGCAACACCTGCAGCAATTAAGCAACCATTTAGTTTGCCAATAATGACTGGACCATGTATTTCCATCTAAACAAGGAACCAAGTTCAGTGAGCACTTGCCTCTGGAAATGGAGATTCCACAAGATATCGGTTCTTTTTAAGGACAAGCTTCACCTTGCCATAGTTGGAAGTAGAAGCATAAATGAAATCAATCATCTCTTTGGGGAGTTTAGCCTTTGATAACTTACTAAGAACTGCGATAATTGTATCTGTCTCCAGACCGACAGAAACCGCAGCATACAAAGAATGCGGAGTGAGGTTGTACTCGTGCATTGATTCTGGCCTGAATATTGATCAGTTAGCATATTTACAAGAACAATCGCTTAATCTTAAAGATAATCCACCATAGGTTTCTGCTTCAATAGATTTAAGTTACCTGCAAACTGGTTCCGCAATAGCAATAAGGAAATCGTATGCTTGTTTGTACAAGGGCGAGAAAGTTTCAAGGAATATGCGGCCATCAGAACACGCCCATAAGGGCCGGTTAGTATGGTCAGGTTTCAACTCTAGTTTGCTGAAATCCCTCTTGCCCCCTTCTTTATCGCCTAAAATAACATAAGCTCAATCAAAAACCATAATCGCCATGCCTCACAACTCCAAACAATCAGAAAACCATATCAAATAACGATGCAATCCATTAATCAAACCAAATATCCTCCAATTCCACGAAAGTCTAACATAGATACGAAGATTTTACCATTGCGATCATCGTCGTCAAACTCTTCAAAATGATAGGCATCTTCTTCTTCAAAATGAGCTTTCTTATAATCCTCCTGAAATCGATTGATCAATCATTATTACGCAATACAAAAACACCGAACCCATTAAATAAACTGGACTTCAAAACCGAACAAACCTTGCCGAATTTAGGTCGTTTGCTTGATCTTCCTTTATCACCTGAAACATCGAATGTTCTACATCAAAACTAATCTTCTTTAGGGCGGAAAGAAACAATCCCGCAAAAATCAAGAACGAGAGAACAAAGATTGTAATCCACCACAGTTTTACCATGTCCCATAGCTTGAAAAATGAGATGCAGAGGCTAGCTGTATGATCAGATGCGCTTGGATTTTACGAAACGGAGTGATGAAAGGAAATCCAGAGATGAAGAACACTACCGACTATCAAATGAACCGCCTCAGGTTTTAAAACGATGAATCGGCGTTCGCGCTTCGGCTGTTCGCCGATTTAACAGACTGCAATATATTGATTTATCAATTAGCGAAAGCAAAATAGCCGAAAAATATAGAAAATAAAATAAATTAAAACAAAAACTAATCGATTATATATTTACTTATTTTTTTAGTAAATAAAAAAAAAAATATATATATATATATTAATGTCGAACATTATACTATAATATTTAAATTTAAATTTTTAAAGGTTACTTATTATATATTTAATTATTTACTTACCCATCTATTATATTTATTTATTTTACTTACTAAATAAATAAATAATTTTTTACATGATATTTAAATTTTAATTTTTAAAAATTTAGATTGATTATGGTTTTGTATGTTTTTAATGAAAATATATTTAAAAAAATTATTAATTAAAAAATTCATAATATATTTTAGAATATTTTTCTCGATGAATCTGGTTCTCATGAGTTTCTAACATAAATAAATAAGGTATATTTACAAAGATGAAGATTTAATAGATGACGGGACAGGGATAGAAAAGGTTTTTCATCTTCTCCCCATCTCGTCCTGTGGACGTCTCTAATTTAGATGCAAACGAATAATTTAATCGTAAGATAATTAGGAGAGAACATTTTTTTACTGTAGATTAAAAGGAGATGATATGAGATTATATTATCGTGCCTATTATTTTTTTTACTATAGGCTAAAAATATGTAAATTGAATTGAAAAATATGATGTAATATTAAATTTTATAATATTTAGAATAATATATATATATATATATTAAGAATGACTATTATATATCTTATAATTTTAAAATTGGTTCTAAAAAATATTTTTTATGACATTTATGGTATTTAAAAAACTATTTAAAAAAAATTAAATTTATAATATTAATATTTGTAGTTTTAGTGGCAATCGAGACGAAAGTCGAAAGCACAGCGGTTTCTTTCGTCGACGAAGTTCGGTTATTCGTTCCATTTCTTCGTCTTCTTCAGGTTGATTTGCTCGACTCTCACAATTCGGGATCTCACAGACAAAGATGAGCGCGCACAACTCCAAGTATTTTTCCACCACCAAAAAGGGTGAAATCCCCGAGCTCAAAGAGGAGCTTAATTCTCAGTACAAGGCATTTCTCTATCTGTCTTTCACTGTACCCCGTTTTTGCTTCAAATTTGTATTGCTTATTCAATGTCTCGGTGTTTTTTGTTCAGCATTCTGTCTAGCTTTTCGGTTTGTGATCCGTGATCTATATGAATTCAGTTGATTGATAGTTCAGGTGCTTTTTTGTTTTTTTTTTTCTTTTTGAAATCATCGTCTTGTATGGTTGACTCGAAGATCTGCTGGGTTTGGTGTTTGACATATTTTTTATCAGAGCTAGTGTCTGAATACCTTGAGTTATTGTAATATTCTGTAATTAAAAAAAAAAACAGAAGGAAACGGCTGAAACGCCAGCGAAGGAGGGAGAAGTGGTGCACGCCCACGTGTTTTGGATTTGGAATGCAAGGTGTGTCTGCTATCTTGCTTAGGAGAAGGATTAAGTGGATGTAAAGCCACGGTTTGGCTAAACAGTGAGTTAAGGATTGGGATTTGAAAACCAAAACGCAGAAAGGAAAGAGGAAAAATAAAACCCATGTGAACAGTGAGTTCATGTGTGAATTTGTGGAGTTTTACGCGTTCTTTTGGCAGATTGAAGCAAGAGGGATGTTTAGAAGGTTGAAGGCTATGTCCTCGTGAGTTCAATTTGAGGAAAAGCGCGACATCGAGCCAAGTTGGGAAGCAAAATGAAAGGGTAAGTTTGTGTGAAACCTGTAGCTTTGAAGGTCAATATCTTAATATACAATGCATAAGACATGCTCAAACTTGTCTCAATAGATTCGTGGGAATGAGGTCTACATTTTTATAGAAGAAATCGATAAAAGATAATGAATGTAGCCAAAGAATCAAGTTCGAGGACATGATGGGTGTTTTGGAAAAGTTCTAGAAAAACGCAGGGTGGCCAAGAAGAAGACAACTGCAGACACGTGGCCGAGGGAGTGAGCACGTGGAGGATCCTGGTTCGTCCCGTTCGTCTTCTATTTGTCTTTTTTGCCGATCTATTCATATTGACCCTAAAAGTTATTAATTATAGGTTTAATTGGAGAAGATTGAGGAGTAATAGCCGAGTTTGTAACGCTTTATGTAAGAAAGGGATTTAGCGACACAAGTAAGTAGTGTATCGAGGCTTCTAAACAAGTGTTAACTTGTTATATGTGCTAAGCATGTTGATCATGTGATCAGGGACATAGCTATGTGGAAATAATGTTAATTGCATGACCTAAGTATCGACAAATATGTTCACATGAGTAGAGTTCAAGCATGGTAGGGATCATTATCGTGTATGCTTTGTGGCTCTAATGTATGCTTATGAGCTTATCATATTATGTGACATGCACGAGAAATACCCTTTTTATGATGGTATAATGTAGGAGCCACTAAGGATTCGTCATGTGAACTCTAGTTGTAATTAGACCTCACGTACACCTATAGTTGAATGGACAATAGGTTGGGAGGGCATGTTGCCCATTAGTTTATTATATCCCACTGAACCCCCTGACCGACGCGTTGAGTTCTAAGTTAAGGACATGAGTATTCCTAACTGTCAGGCTATGAGCTATTTCAGGCCGCTAGAGCATCTAGAAGATGGGGACGTATTTGACTGAGAGAGTGTTACGAACTCAGAATTCATAATAAGCATAAATAGAGAAAAATAGGAAAAGTGAGACCTGCATTGACACCTAAAAACCCCAAAGCTTCTGTGGGAACAGAAAACACACATCCTTGAAAGGAAGCCCATCATTATTAGCTATGTGAGAGGCGACACAAGCAGTGAACTCGAGCTAGAATCAGGTTAGGCGATCCAAGCTTATGAAATGAATGGATGGTTGGATCGAGGACCTGATCCAAAGCGAAAACTCTGGCAGGTTGTATTTGATTGTAAACGTGTCTTACGTATCAGCTCAGAATTCATAATAAGCATAAGTAGAGAATAAATAGGAAAAGGTTAATCATTATACCGTGAGATCTGCATCAACACCTAAAACCCCCAAAACTTATTTGAGAACCGAAAATATTCACCTTTGAAAGGATGCCCTTCACTGGTAGCAATGCAAGAGGCGACACGAGCAGTGAACTCGAGTCGGAACTGGGATAGGTGATCCAAGCTTATGAAATGCATTGATGGTTGGATCGAGAACCCGATCCGAATCGAAAACTCTAGATGGGCTGCTAATTGGAAATTTTTGAAGTTAATAATCAGATCATTAATGTAACTGGTTAATTACAAGTTAACTACTTACAAAATAACAGGGGTCAAGGTCGGCCAGTGAGACGATGGGGGATAAGCTTCATCAATTACAAGTTAACTACTTACTGAGTAAATTTATTACTCATCAAAATTATTTTTAATTTTCTTTTCAGATATACGAGATGCAGCGTGACCAATACAACTGTGTGGACAAGCTGGAGGCTTTAGAGATTTTGTCTAGACCCAAGTCTGTTTTGTGTTAAAACTCCATGTTTCTCTATTTTGAACTTGTTTGTAGTTGTTTGATTTTATTGTAAATATATGTAAATAATGGTTATGTTATTAACTAATATTAAAATATAAACATTTTCTTTTAAAATTTATCAGTGCCAGTAGTAGCGATCGTGAATCGGGTTCGCCGGTAAGCAGGCATTACAGTTATGTCCTTCCATAAGCATATCAAAGAGTCATTGATGTTATAGGAAAAACATCTGCAGAGAATTTGGTATATGACTCATAGTTGGAGATTTTGACAAGAAAGAGTTTTATTAGTGACTCATAGTTGGAAATTTAACTTTTTATACAGTGGTCTATCGAGTTTCCTCCATGCACGCATCTCTTCATTTGTTGCCCTTTCTGCCGTCATTGAAGGCTTTGAAGCTTGTTTTTATTTGCTTCGGTTTTATTGCATTTTGAAGTATTTGAGGCTGTCTTAATTGGCACAATTTGAGGATTGTGAAGCGTTGTGTCAACATTAATTTTGATTTTGGGGCCATGTCTCACGAGGATTTTGCCTTTAACCTTTGTTTATGAGAGAAGTTTAAGTCTCTTCAATATTTAATTGTCCTTTCATTGTTTGAGGTTGTCTCTATGAAGTATTGTGGCGACATTAATTTCGGCTTTTATTCTCCGAGTAGCCGAAGTTTTAAGTTGGTTCGATGTTCAACTTTTTGTGTGAAGATGAAACATTTATTCTTCTCTTTTATAAAATAAATTCTTTTTGTTCAAGGTTGCAAAGGGCATGAGGAGTGAAACATTAAGTTTTAAGTCTATAAGACATTTTCCTTTCCAAGAAGACTTTCGGCTATCTTCATTCTAGATTGCAAAGGTCTTGTATAGCAGCATTAAGTTCAAATTCGAATTTTATTCTCCATGGAGCCCAAGTTTCAAGTTGGCTCGGTTTTGAATTATGCATGAAGATGAGCTTTTAGTCTCCTCGTTTGTCAAATAAATTCTCTTTGTTCAAGGTTGCATTAATATGGAAGAGGAGTGAAACATTAAGTATAAAGTTTTTAAGGTGTTTTCTTTTCCAAGAAGACTTTCGGTTGTCTTCATTCAAGATTTTTTGTTCTTGCACTTACTCCATGGTAGTTTAATGATGATTCATTCACCTATATATTCTTTTAGGGTCTGCGTCTTCTCTCCTCAAATAGTCCACTGGTGCATTCCTTTGTCTTGCTTATCGAATCTTTCTTTGTGGAGTCAAATTCCGCTTTTATGGATTAACTTTCAGCTTGGATTGCACAACTTGTTGGGAAGTTGAAACTGATTCATCATTGAGTGGTTCTTTGCAGAGTAGTATTATCTACAAAGAAGTTTGAGATTCTTTTCCAATGCAAACAAGAGCTCAATAATGCTAGATTTGGAAGGCTCTTCCTAGTTTTCTCAAGTGTCTCAAAATGGTTGAGTCAATTAGGTATATGAAAAGTTCTTGTTCATGGTGATCTCTATAAGGTTTTCTTTGCTGCTTTAATTTTTCTTTTTCATACCCTTTGAGAGTTCTTACCCCCGTGAACTTTTAATATTTTTCATTCTATCAGTGAGAAGTTGTTTCTAGTTAAAAAGAAAATAATTCGGTATGTGTCTCCATGTAGTTTAGATGTCGATGATCAACTGTAATCAGGCCATGACGATAAGAAATCTGAGGAAACTTAAATGTTTGTACTTTCCCAACAGTTTATGGTTGGACCTTTTGATATAGCTTCTTCACCTCTCATTTCCAACTATAGGGCTCTTTATGATCAAATATGCTCAATAATTTTTTTCTCAGTAACTAATGAACTGATGGTATGTGTGGTTAATACTTAGAAGTTAAACCGTAGTCAGGACATATGATTTTTCGTTTTTTACCATGAGTATCAAATTTTGGATTTAGGGGTTTCTGAATCAAACTCTTGCTATATGATATGCTTCCTTTTGGCGTGAAGTCTCATACCTCTGGAATTAGGTCTTGATAGTAAAAAAAATGTGTTTGTTTTTAGTTTTAACTGTGTATCTTTTCATAAGTAGCTTTTAAAACATTTTGCAGGATAAAAGAAAAGATGCTGTTAAAAAGGTCATTGCTGCAATGACGGTTGGGAAGGATGTATCATCACTTTTCACAGACGTGGTAAACTGCATGCAGACTGAAAATTTGGAGCTGAAAAAGCTGGTTTACTTGTATCTAATTAATTATGCCAAAAGCCAGCCTGATCTAGCCATTCTAGCAGTGAACACATTTGTTAAAGTATGTACTGAAATTTCTTAATTTTTTCTTTTTGGCAAATTATATTATCTTTATTTCTGGTTTAGACACTGGAGTCAAGTGATTTACCATGCCCTCATGCCAACATGAGTATAATTTAGAAGTTAAGGCATTTCTATTTTCTTTAAAAGATTGTATGTTCAAATCTCCACCCCATATGTGATGTAATGCTTGGGGAACAGCACATACATAGAGTACTATTTTATGAATTTGCTTAATTTTGGTACTTTATTTAAGGTTTTCTTAAAAACGCAATATTCTGGAGGGTCCTGCTAAATATGAAAAAGAAAGACAGAAAGCAAAGTTTGCTCCAGGAGAGATGGAGGTTCTTCATCTTTTCTGGTTCCCCCTATCGTACTGTTTTCATTTTTTGGGGGGAGTTCATAATATTTGTGCCCAATACCTATGAAATTGCCATATATTTGTGTCATCACCTTTTATGGAGTTTGCAAACCGTTTGCTGTCAACAGCCAGGGGAGATAGCATCTAGTCCGTTTTTTTTAGAACTCCTGGTCTCTCAAGAAGTTGAATTTTGTGAGAGCTTTTGTTTGTGTGCTGTAGAAATTCTAGAATATAGGGACCTGGCATATGAAAGTTCCGTATAAACGGACCCCAGTCTGCATAGAAGAATGAATGTTGAAGTTAATCTGCTCGATTAATTTTAACTGTATTTTATTTTTCAAAATATGAGACCGAATGGGTCAAACACATCATGCATCTGACTTTCTGTGTTGTTAGAAACTTTTAGGAGTAATTTGACTAATGTATATCTGTGCAGGATTCACAAGATCCGAATCCTTTAATTCGTGCGTTGGCCGTAAGGACAATGGGATGCATTCGTGTGGATAAAATTACAGAATACTTGTGTGATCCTCTTCAGAGATGCCTTAAGGTTGTTTATTTTTGGCTCATTTTCATATTTTTTGCTATCTAAATTCAGTATTTGTTTCTGATTCTCAATGCATCGTCATTGCTAGATTTGTTTACAAATTCTCTCTCTTTCATTTCTTTCAATGGACTGAAATGCCTGTTGTTAGGAGGTGAGGATTTTTTTTATTGGGTTCTGAATTTTGACTCAATTATCTAATCTTTTGGTTTTTTAATGTTATGACAGGATGATGACCCTTATGTCCGCAAGACAGCTGCCATTTGTGTTGCCAAACTTTTTGATATAAATGCTGAGTTAGTTGAGGACAGAGGTTTTTTGGAATCTCTCAAAGACTTAATATCAGATAACAATCCAATGGTTGTTGCAAATGCCGTGGCTGCTCTTGCTGAGATACAGGAGAATAGTAGCAGATCCATCTTTGAGATCACAAGTCACACACTGTCAAAACTTCTCACAGCTTTGAATGAGTGTACTGAGTAAGTGCGGCCTTTGCTTTGTTCAAACTGTGTAAAACTCTTTATTAATACTCTGTGAAAGACGTCAATTAAGAAGATAATTGTTCGTGGTTAATTTTCATTTACTACAGCTGATTCTTTCTTAATGAGATATAAGAAAATTGATCTCTTTTAAAAATATGCAATAAATTGCACAATTGAAAGTAATCTAGGTCCCTACGTGCACCACAAACATCGCGGAGTGTCTGTATTTTAGTGCTACATTTAGTCATGGAGGCTATGTTGGGGGAGTAATGTTATCATCATTCTTGCTTCTGCATTTTTGCAGGGAGAACATCCTTTGATAGTTCTTAATGCTTGTTTTTTTTTTTTTTCTAAAGAAACAGCTTTCATTGAGCAAAATGAAAGAACATGCAAGGACATACAAAAAACAAGCCCAACAAAAGGGAGTTCCAAAACAACAACCTACAAGAAGGGACTCCAATCCACCAAAATCAAACAAAAATCATAATTACAAAAAGACCTAGTGACTAATGCCAGGAGACATTGAACCTCATTGTCTCTCAAACTTTGTCATACGACCCTTCCACCCCTTGAAAAAAATCTATTGTTTCTCTCTCTCCCCAAAATAGCAAAAAATTAGCATGTCACCAAACTTTGCCCTTCTCGAAAAGTCAAACTCACAGTTCTCAACCTTAGTGTAACTATCCCAATTCCACACAAAACATAAACTGGATGGTAGTTCTTAATGTTATCATCATGGAGTCAGAATGATAATGGCTTCTTTGTTTTTGTGGGAAGGACATCCCTTGAAATTCTTTTCTGCTGTATTTTCTTCTTCAATTTTTTTTTTTCCTGAAAATAATTTATGTACCCTGATTTTTTCTTCAGGTGGGGTCAAGTTTTTATACTGGACGCACTTTCTAGATTCAAAGCAGAGGATTGTCGTGAAGCAGAAAATATAATAGAGAGAGTTACTCCACGGCTACAACATGCTAACTGTGCTGTTGTTCTGTCAGCTGTGAAGGTGGATATGTTAAGTAATTGATTTTCTCCACCATATATATGGTGGTGATTTTGAGAAAGTCTTAGTTATTTCAACTAACTAATATTGTTCATCTTTCTTTTTCTATTTTCTCCTTATTGATAGATGATTCTTCAACAAATGGAACTGATCAGTAGCGCTGATGTAGTTCGAAATCTTTGCAAAAAGATGGCTCCTCCTCTTGTTACTTTGCTTTCGGCGGAACCTGAGATACAATATGTTGCATTGCGAAATATCAACCTTATAGTACAGAAACGTCCTACTATTCTTGCACATGAAATTAAGGTCGGTGATAATTTTGCCACCATGATGCTAGCTTGTAATTTTTAGTAAAGATGGATGTAAAATTAACTGGAAGATTAGTACATCCTGTTTGCTAAGAAGCTTACCACTACTCTCCCTTTTATCTTTTTTGCTTTCTTCCCATTTTGTAGGTTTTCTTCTGTAAATACAACGATCCAATCTATGTAAAGATGGAGAAGTTAGAGATCTTGATTAAGCTTGCATCTGAACGGAATATAGACCAGGTACACTTTCTTTCTCAGCATTATCTATTCCTCAGTATGTCTATAAATATTATAGAACATTCTATGAAATGACACCCTTTTGATTATGATATTGATAGGTTCTGCTGGAGTTCAAGGAGTATGCCACTGAAGTAGATGTAGATTTTGTAAGAAAAGCTGTCCGTGCCATTGGTAGGTGTGCAATCAAGCTAGAGAGAGCTGCTGAACGATGCATAAGTGTGTTGCTCGAGCTGATCAAAATTAAAGTCAACCACGTGGTTCAAGAGGCTATTATAATTATCAAGGATATTTTTAGGAGATATCCTAACACGTAAGCATTTTTTTCATCCCTTCAACTTTGGCTTTCGCTGATTGAATGATCAATTCATCATTCTGACTTTATGTGAATTTCTATTCTATTTACAGTTATGAGTCCATCATTGCAACACTCTGTGAAAGCTTAGACACGTTGGATGAGCCAGAAGCCAAGGTAATAGTGGTGCAATTTTATATCAATAGCACAAGTGGTTCCATCTCTTGAAGTCACACTTTTATCATATGTTTGTCCCTTGGCTCAAGGCATCAATGATATGGATTATTGGAGAGTATGCGGAGAGAATTGACAATGCAGATGAACTTCTTGAAAGCTTCTTGGAGAATTTCCCTGAGGAACCTGCACAAGTCCAGCTTCAATTGCTGACTGCAACTGTCAAACTTTTTCTTAAGAAGCCAACCGAGGGACCACAGCAGATGATTCAGGTCTTTTCTCTACAAGCGTAATTTTCAATTCCCAAATCCATTGGTGAAATACAGGTTGTGCCATCTTGTTACGATTGCAAATGAGTTTAGTTTCCATGTATCATGGAGTTATTGCCTCCAGCAATTCTCTTCATGTGTTTAGGCACTGACATGGAAAAATCTGTTTGTAATCGGAACAAATCAGAGAATTACTGTTGCTAATTATTATAAAAGCTAATTTATGCTAAAAATATCAAAATAGTTACTGACAAACTCTTACTAAGATGGACCTTTTATTTTTATTTTTATTCTTTTATATTTCTTTGGGTGGGGGTGGGGGTTAGAAACCGATGGACTTTATTTGTGTTCATCATTTCTGTTAGTAATCATCGTCAGTCTGAGCACAATGGCCGTGGTCTCTCTGATAAAATCGTAGTATGGTAGAACTGTGAAATCGTCTAGTGCTCTGTACTTATGGTCTCTAGATATCAACCCAATGAATATTTACTTCCTGTCAATTTACAGGTTGTTTTGAACAATGCTACTGTGGAGACGGACAATCCTGATCTGCGGGACCGCGCATATATCTATTGGCGACTCCTATCAACTGATCCAGAGGTTTACATTATGCACATCATTTTTTTCAGCTTCACTGTGATTATAACATCCAATGTATGGCCATTTATTTGAGGATAAACTATAGGCTTTTGGGTAGAACCATGGGTTTTGTTTTAAAGATTCATCCTCAAGCATATGTGACGGGAAGAAACCGAGTACATGTCATGATTATATTATTTAAAAAAAAAAAAAAAACTTATTAGAATCAAAACAACCAACCCTATCTCACTTTTGATATAATAGCTAGGTCCATGAATCTCAGTTTATCCAGTAGTTTCTACTTTGCAGGCAGCGAAGGATGTCGTTCTTTCCGAGAAGCCTGTGATTGGCGATGATTCAAATCTGCTTGATTCCTCGCTCCTAGATGAGCTCCTTGCCAATGTTGCCACTTTATCGTCTGTATATCACAAGCCCCCTGAAGCATTTGTTACCCGTACGAAGATTGCTCAGAGAACAGATGAAGAAGATTTTCCTGAAGGCAGTGACACAGGGTATTCAGAATCTCCTGCCCACGCTGGTGGTGCATTGCCTCCAACTACCTCAGATGCACCTAATTCAGTACCAAAGAGACTGGCCCTTGGCTTAGTTGCTCCTCCACCTCCAGTTTCAGTTCCGGATTTACTTGGTGACCTGATTGGATTGGATAATAGTGCTATTGTCCCTTTTGATCAGCCTGCTGCTTCTGCTGAGTGAGTGAATTGATACTTTCTTATCTGTGGGTATGCGATTAAATCATGGGTAGCTTGCATTAACTTTTTGGCCTAAGAATCTTAAGTAGTGTCTGAAATACTGTAACTGAACAAATATTGTTTGATGGTAAAGGCTCTTCGAAGGTTTCTGATGACAGTGATGAACATTTTCATGGGAATAAGTTTATGAATATGACTTTTATCAAAGAAAAAAGAAAAAAGTGTATGGGCGTGTATGAAAAATGCATTACCCTTAATGAGCTTTTGTAATTCTGGCTTGCAGCCCTCCATTGCCTATCCTGCTCCCAGCATCAGCTGGTCAAGGCTTACAAATTAGTGCCCAGCTCACACGATTGGACGGTCAAGTATTTTACAGTTTATTGTTCGAGAACAATACACAGATTACATTGGATGGATTCATGATCCAGTTTAACAAGAATACGTTTGGCCTCGCCCCTGCAGGACCTTTACAGGTAGATTTGCATATTGTTTGGAGTTGATTGTCCACGGATGAAACTAACTTCTTGTTTTACTATTCATAGGTTCCATCGATGCAGCCTGGGTCAATTGTTAGTACTCTCCTGCCTATGGTAGTGTTCCAAAATATGTCTCAAGGTCCCCCAAGTTCACTTTTGCAGGTAGCCGTGAAGAACAATCAGCAGCCAGTGTGGTACTTCAACGATAAAATCTCAATACACGTTTTCTTCACCGATGACGGGAGGATGGAACGTGCAAACTTTCTTGAGGTAAAGTTGATGGTTGCAATTTCCTTTATCTATTATCATTATTATTTTGTTGGTGGCAATGAGTGTTTTCAGCGGCATTGTTTATCATAAATATCATGTTGATTTCTTGTTTTGCTTACTCCTCGAGTCCGTCTATTAACGTAGAATGCACACTTAGGAGGGACGACCGAGTAATGGTCTCGAACAAACTGTGGATTTACAATTTGGGGTGTCTGAATTTTCATCTCTCTTTTCTTTTACAAATTCTCATCGTTCAGTAGAAATGACATTTATAACGAACTCTCATCGTTTCGAGATCATTGGCTAAATCAACCCATAGTAAAGTGGACAAATTATTGGAATGATTATCTGATGATGGAGTTGGAGGAAACATAGTTTTAGATTACTTTTTCATCTAATTGGATAAATCCTTCATTAGGTATTTGGTCTTAATTGTGGCATTTATCATCTCTTCATTGTAGACTTGGAGGTCCCTCCCAGATTCAAATGAAGTTTCCAAGGATTTCCCTGCCATTGTTCTAACCAATATGGAGGCTGCTCTGGAACGACTGGCTGCTACAAACATGTTCTTCATTGCTAAAAGGAAACACACAAACCAAGACGTTTTCTATTTCTCTACCAAAATTCCCAGAGGAATCCCTTTCTTGATCGAATTGACTGCGCTTATCGGAACCCCGGGACTGAAATGCGCCATCAAAACCCCGAACATTGACATGGCACCACTCCTTTTTGATGCCTTGGAGACCCTTCTCAAGGAATGATTTATAAGCTCTGCTTTACTTGTTCTTCTTTTCCTTCCCCTGATTTTTTGTTAGTATTAGCAAATTCATGCTGCTGGGTATGTCTGCCTTGCCTCTTTTATATCTACTTTTCCCTCTTGAACTTCCATTGAGTTCAAGCTTTGCCTTAGACTCTGTTGATTCCCTCATTATTTTTCCCCAGATTCAAGAGTTTTGTGAACTTGTTGCTGCAAATCCTTTGGACAAGAGATTTTGGATGTTGTTTCGTGAACGATGAAAAATATTGTCGTTCGGGAGCCGTTTGATAACAATTCTGTTTTAACTTCTTCGTTTTCTTTTGCTTTGCACTCTTTATTTGTAAGAAATTGTAAATACAACTCGTGCGTATTTTTGGTCATTCATAATTGTACCGAACTCGAGTATGCTTATATATATATATAACTTCATTAAGCCTATGCATTACTTGAAGTGAAAGCTAAGGAATATGGTATCTTGTTGGCATTTATTTATAATGTACTAATCTACCTTACAAATTCAAATTTGATGCCCTTGTGATAATTATGATGAGGAATGATGAAGATCCAAAATTTCTAGATTTTGTTATCATTAATTAGGCACCATTGACCCATGCATTTTAAGCTTTGCCATACTTGGGTAGGCTCTCTTTACTCGTGTCGCAATATAAGGCTCTTTCAGCTTCGTGATCCATTTTTTGTTCTTAATTCATTTACTCTCATGTAAACTTTTGTCCCTTCTTCCCCTCGGTCTCGAATCTTTGATTCATGATTCCCTGATTGAACTATTCTTTCACTCGGTGCTTATCGTAGAGACTTTCAGTATACAGTGTCCTGCTCTTTCACTCGGGTGCTTATCGTAGAGGCTTTCAGTACACAGTGTCCCACAACTGTTAATAGTATAACGGGGATGAAACACAATAATGTCTGCCTTTCTTTTACTTGGCCTAAGTCAATTTTTTTAGTAAGCCTAAGTTTTTTTTTTTTTTCGCACAAAATCAAACATGTTTTCAGATAAAGTGAATATATATATATATATATATATTTTTTCATTTTCTATGATTTTTTTAAATAAATTTCCCAATTAGGAATGAAATGTGGCATTATATTACAATAAATAATAATAATAATAGTAAAGATGAAGATAAAAATGTTATTAAAATAATATAGCGACGTATTGTGGTAGCCGGTTTAGAATTTTAATTTTAATTAAAAAGTTATTTAAAATATGTTAATATATTTATATACAATAAAATAAATATTGTTATAATTATCTACTAAATATGTGGTTTAATCTAAATACACTAAAAATATATCTTTTATTCTCAATCCTTTTTTATTATTTTTGTTTTTATTTTATAATCTTAGAAAATAAATTTGCTTTGTACCAATTTTGAAACAAATATATTTAAATTTTTAAAAGTACTTTTAAAATCCAATTTTTTTTTAAAGTGCATTTTATATTAAAAAATCATTTTTTTAAATTCAAAAATAGAGGAAGCTAAAACTTCAAAATTAAAATTAACTTAAACTAATTAAATATAATTTTTTTTAAAATAAAGAAAATATATTATTTGGGCGAAAATTCACCAAATTAATTATTTTTAGTCAAACCAAACATATCTAAATTCATTTAAACAAACAAAATCAAAGACGAATAATTCATTTTAATATTGATATCTTTAATTTAATTTTTTAAAAATAAAATAAAAATAATTTCAACAAATATAAATAAATTTATATAGATAATTAATAATCGAACTGAATAAACCTAAACCAAACACGTTTTCTACAAGATATGAAATAAAATTGATATCAGTTCATTCCGTTTTGATATGTGAGCCGAATTTTCAGTCCTCCTGCGGCGGCGTTGAAAGTTTAGACTTTCAGGCGACTCCACGGCGGCTCCGTCTATCTCTGGCAGCGGTGGCGGCCGAAACCTAGAGGAAAATTGTTCATTTTCCTTTCATCCAAGCAGAAAATCGGGAGGAAGACTGTTGTTGTTAATTTATATATCGTTTTTTTGGATTTACTTTTTGATTCTTCCTGACCTTTATACTCAGTGGAAAGTCGTCCTCGCGCACGAAACCATCCCAAACATTCTCTCTCTCTGCAGAGAGAGAAGCTTTCTCAGCCTTCTGTGCTTCTCTGCCATAGCCTGGACGGAAAGAAGAGCGTTTTGGAAAGGAGTTCACATCGCTGTGATTTCTTTTTCTTCCATTCGAATTGAATTCTCAATCGCGTTTTACGAATCGATTGATTTCGTCTGTTAACCGGTAAGATTCCAGTTTCTTGAATATATATCTCTTTTGCTTTCAATTTGATTCTGATGACCGCTGCTTGATCAGAAGCTCGTGTTGTATATTCGTGAGATTTTTGGCTGGTTCTGGAGCTAAGCTGGTTTTGGATTTTCAGTTTTCGTTTCTATAGGTTTACTCTGATGCTGTATTGTTTTGAATGATTTGTTTGATTTACTTGTTTGCAACCGCTTGGAATTTATCGACCTTTGCTCCAGAATCCGAATTTTTCGACTTCTTGTCACTTTGCTGTTGCCGTGTTATCGCTTGAGTTCTTGTTTGCATGACTCTGGTCTATTTTGCTTTAGTTGCTTCATTGTTGTTTTAGATTGATAGGTGAACATGTTCTTGTGGTTTCATTCAGATTGAGTTAGATTCATAATGGATGATTGAAGACGAATCTGTCTCTACTCTGGTTATACTGATTCTTCAGGAGTATTTTGTTCCTCTTTTGGTTTCATTTTGGGTCCTCTAATTACAGTCACTAATTTCAAATGATTAAGCCTTACAAGATAATAACAATCCTCTTTTTAGCTCATGAGAGCAGAATATGTTGCCAGAAAAGGGCTTTTTTCTGCAGGTTCTTGCTTATTTGACTTGTTTTGCCCTTTCCTTCAATTGTGGTCTGATGAAATTCCTGCTCCTCTCCGCAAAACAAATAAATTATGTATGAAGGGAAAATAGCATTTGTGTTTGCCCTATGTGTAGGTTCGAACTCTTGGCGAGATTTTCAACTCCAATCTTGAGTATTACCTAGTCTACAGTGTACTCTGGTCGCTGCTTTCTCCTATGATAATTTATGATTATTTCATCACTACTAGCTTTGTTAATCTATGATTCACTCATCGTATTATCAATCATCTTTTGTGACAAATACTCCAGTGCATTTTTCATATCTCCTAATGGAGTTTTTGATTTTACATAAACTAGTCATGTCTTTCCTGAAAATTGTGCAGAGGGAACTATGCAGTTAAATTAATTTAGGATGTTTTCTGTAACAGGGTTGGCAGTCCATAAAATTTTGAGGACGTATTGCTACTAGTGCGATGATTTGTTGGTGTGTGTTGTAGATAAGTAAGCTGAAATGGGAGGTTGCTGCTGCTGCTGTTCTTCGAAAGAATCAGAATCAAATATCGCACCAGGCTACTATTATGTCAGTATTGAATTTTTCATTGGATGTTTATTGTCATCTTCTTATCAATCAAATTCATTATCGTAAGCAAGGACAATGCAGCCATCATCTGGTATTCATTCGTTTCTTTATTATCATTGGCAGCATGTCTAGATGCATGTAGCTGTAGGTATTCCGTTATAACCTGTAAGTTAACGTAACTTGCATTATTTGAGGCACAAAACTGAACTGATTGTAGTGCGAGAGTGAATTCTTGAATGAAGCTTCTTTTTATAAGTAATTCTTTGCATTTAATGGTATAATTCAGCATCTTTGTGTTTTCCATATAAGTCTTCTTCCTTAGCATGAATCAAGTTAGATTGGCTGTGATTTAGGAGATGCTTGTGTATTACACTTGAATAAATAATGCAAGTTGCCGATTTAAATTTAAGTTATAAACGTGACATAGGCTACAATTTCTATTATTTGATCTCGTAAGTGGTTGAGATTTATCCTTAACTGCTAACTAACATGATGGGCTAGGGAATTTTCTTTCCATTGTCAATTTCCTTGCTCAAAATCTCAATTTACTTGAATCTAAGTTTTGAACTTTTGATGCAGTACCCAAGAGCATCGGAGGAGCATGTTCCCCTGTCATCTCCACTTAGTGCTCCCCCAGCATTTCCAATGGGGCTTTTAGTCGATACAAATCTGGATACATCAATCCCAGACACGTATAGATCGCCTCCCTTGCCTATGCCATATGATGTTGTTTTAACACATCCACATACTCCACCTGTGGCTCAAGAAATCTGCAGCAATAAGAATGATGCTGCAGCTCAGACTACCAATTCCGATACAATTCAAGAAACAACATGCATAAACACTCGGGAAACTTCAGCCAAATGTGAAGGCATCGACGATGAGTCAGACTGCAAGAAGCATACAGATTTTGAAGTGGACACATTAAAGGAATCTGAAATCGAACTTTCAAAGGGTGTGAAATCTGTGGTCTTACCAATTGAAGAGGAGGATGTTTGTCCCATCTGTTTGGAAGGTGAAGTTTTGCCAAAACTTTGTTTAGCTACCTATACCAACCCACCAAACCATGGAATTTTTCTAACCTTATATGTCTATTGCCAACGTTCGACATTTTAGTTGCTTGAACTAACAAGTCACAACATCGTTGCTTTCTCGATAACCGCACAGTACCATTTCATTTTAATTACTTGGACTAACAAGTCACCTAGTCATCATTTTCTATTGTCTTATGCAGAATATGACGGAGAGAATCCAAAACTCACCACAAAATGCGAGCATCATTTTCATCTTGCATGCATTTTGGAATGGATGGAAAGAAGTGATATATGTCCTGTGTGCGATCAGGTCTGTTTCAGCAGTTTATGCTTTTTATCATCTGTCACCCCACTCATTTGCGTGTAACCCACCAAGATTACCTTTCTTTATGTCCTAATCATCTGCCTCTGACATACAGGAAATGGTTTTCAGCCCTCCAATTGATTAGTGACAAGACATTGAAAGTAAAGTTGAAAGTATAGGTTTATAAAGTTCCCGTGATTTTGCATCCAGCTGCAAGCTTCAGGTTTGTTTCTTTTAGTTCGTTCTCTTTTCTTCTTTTTCCATAATGAGTGATTTCTTCATTCCTGTTGCACTCTTTTCTTTGTGAATTTGTCGTCTGAACATAGAAATGGGGGGAAAATTGGGAGAATGATTCTTCTTTCTTTCTTTTGTTTTGTTGGTGGGGGGGGGGGGGGGGG